GGACTTTCTAAGCCCGTTTGTCTAGTTCTGGACCCAGATGACCAGTGTGTCTCCTCATGAAAGGACTTGGCAGTGATGGGGCCCTAGAAGAGCGGCTCTCAACCTTTCCAAAACACTGTATCCCTTCCAGGGGGCTGACGGCTTGTGTACCCCCAAGTTTCACCTCACTTAAACACAGCTTGCTTACGAAATCAGACAGCAGCATGCGAAAGAGTCCCAGTAGTGAGCCGCTGGGCAAATTGCTGACTTTCTCGGCTTTACCATCGAATTCTAAACTACTGGATTGAAACAGGACGACTGTAGTTACATGTCAGTGTACAGAGCAGTATGCACAAGGCGTTGTCTGTTGGAAATGTGAGTTTGCACTGACTTTGCGAGTCCTCTTTATGTAGCAAAACCAGACAAATAACCAGAGCCCTGTGCAGATACAAAATTTGTATTCACGTCCATATCCACAAAAATGAGCTGTGCATATACTCAGTGACACTTGCAGATGCAGATACCTGTGGATATCCGCAGGTTTGTAGAGTTCTACAAGTAGCCGGATGAGTTGTTGTTCTCCCTGAAAGACCTTAAGGCACCCCCCCATGGGTATATGTATCCCTGGTTGAGAACCACGGGGCATTCAGCTTCTCTAGTCCAGAATTCTTTGGTCCAGAAACATCCATGGCCTGGAATGATTTTAGTTATCTGGATGTCCACTTTTCATGGGTATGGCCAAGTTTCCCCTGGCTCCATAAAATTTGTTTACAGTAACCGGACCTGGCTCTCAGTGTTCTGTGCTGTTATTTAGCTCTAATTAACCCCTAAATGCCCTCTAACAGCCCTGTAAGCAGAGGAAGTGTTAGTAAGGCTGCTAGACAATATTAGAATCATAGAGCTGGACGAGACCTCAGGAGACCATCTATCCAGCCCCCTGCCCAAGGCAGGACCAATCCCAACTCAATCAACTCAGCCAGGGCTTTGTCAAGCCAGGACTTAAAACACCTCTAGGGATGGAGATCCCACCCCCTCCCTAGGGAACCCATTCCAGTGCTTCCCCACCCGCCTAGGGAAATAGTTTTTCCTAATATCCAACCTGGACCTTTCCCACCACAATTTGAGACCATTGCTCCTTGTTCTGCTATCTGTCACTACCGAGAACAGCCTCTCTCCATCCTCTTTGGAACCCCCTTCAGGGAGTTGAAGGCTGCTCTCAAATCCCCCCTCCCTCTTCTCTTCTGAAGATCCGGAAAATTCTCTGGTTCGGCACCGGTCAGGTCCCGAGGGCGCCAGACTAGAGAGGTTCAACCTATAATCCCCTCCCACTAGTGGGAACCCACCAATCCTTCAGCCTATTGATATTATCCATTGGGTCAAAGAATAGAAACCATGTTTTTACCAGTTCTCCCTGAGTGTCCATCTTAACGAGTTGGGCGCCCTGCTTCTTACAGTACTCAATGCACTCTGTCCACGTTGCAAGCTCTTTGGAGAAAAGGTAGCAGGCATCGCCACGCTGCACCCAGTCGTCCAGACACGTGGCGCATGTGCTGTCTTGGAAGACAAAACATAGCGGGTGAGTTTCCTTTCTGCGGGGCTCGGATGCATCTTTTGTGGCCAGGCCCCAGCAGAACCCACCTGAAGCTGGCCGGCATCACGTTATTGGCTTTTCATGTGAACGTGCAGATCACTGTTGCGCTCACTGGGGTGTGTTTGCCCCCAAATTCTGAGCCACGTGAGGTCTCTCGTCAAAGCTCAAGCCGCGCTCATTCTGTTTCTGCTACTCGTCTACTTGTATGGGTTTTGTATGGGCTCTCTGCTTGTATTTACATGTTCTCTGGGGGGGAGCACTAGGCCTCGACCACCTATGGTGGGGAACGGCGATTCTGTGAATAGTTCTGCTGCATGGATGCTGCATGGACGTCACGGGCCCTGCACCTCCCCTCCACAGCCAGACGCGACTCTCAGCCGGAAAGTAGAACAGAGGATTTGTGGGTTCCCAGGGACATAGCATAGCCCAGACTTGTTGTTACAGGAACCAGGAGCCGTCAGAACCATCCATCTTCGGGACGGGGGGCCCACAGCCCCCACTCTGGACCCCCGCCTGGCTCCCCAAGCCAGCCAGGCTCCCTTCTCCCCCAAGCCAGCCGAAATTAACTCATGCTCACAGGCACTGGTCACAGCCCCCCAGACTCCGCCTCCTGCTTTGTTCAGATTCCTGGGCAAAGTGTCACCAGACTGAATCCTCCACCTAGCTCAGGTGTCAGGCCAGCCTGGGCCTTTGCCTACATGCCTCTCCTCGGGAGTTCTCCCCCAGAGATCCCATCCCCGCTGGGCATCGCACACACACACGCACACACACATACACACGAGTCACTACAGAGCAGCACAGGGCAGTAAGAATCACACACAGCACAACAGAGTGAACAGTGAGTGCACACCGCGACCACAAAAGTGAACTCAGCCCCCCACGACGTCACAATGGACAATGGCTCTTAAGTGTGGCCAATAAACACCTGGGCTACGTCTAGACTGGCAAGATTTAGCGCCCATACTGTAAACGCAAGAGTTTTTGCATTAGAGTATTTGAGTAAGAGAGTGTCAAGACTGGCACGTGCCTTTGTGCAAAAGATTTGCTTTTGCGCAAAAGCATCCGTGCCAGTGTAGACGCTCTCGTGCGCAAGAAATTGATGTTACCTGTCTATACTGGCCTCTTGCGCAAGAACACTTGCACAAGAGGACTTATCCCTGAGCGGGAGTGTCAGAATATTTGCGCAAGAAGTACTGATTTCATACAGTAGAACGTCAGTGTTCTTGCGCAAATACTCGCGGCCAGTGTAGACACAGCCCTGGGGGAGTCTGCTGGAAACCCGCAGACGAGGAGGCCCTGTGGCCGCTTGCCTAATGGACCCGGGCAGGTTAGTGGTCTTGCAATCAGCTCCATCTTGGGAGGAGAACAAAGGATTTCCCGCCGCACGGACAAAATTATAAAAGGATCCTGCGGGTTCCTCCATTTTTGTTTTTGCTCCTGCCCTCTGCTCCAGAAGCACCATTGGTAAGGATAGAGAGCCGGGAAGGATTTGCTGATCCATCCTGACATAGGAGGTACACCCCAGACTTTTAACCCAGTGGTTTGTTACATCTCTGCTACGAGCCTACATCAAGAACTTGGTGGCTGATGTGTGGAATGCGCTTTCTTTAGCAATCTCTTCTCAGCCTTTTCTTTCTTTTTATTAACAAACCTCTACATTTTAGATGCTCGAGGATTCTCTTTCAGGTAAGATCTGAGGTATAAATTGACCTGGGACTGCGGCTGGGCCTTTAATAAGAACATAAGAATGGCCAGTAGTCTGTCTGCTGACAGTGGCCAGTGCCAGGTGCCCTAGGGGGTGGACCAAAGACAATGATCAAGCGATTTGTCTCCTGCCATCCTTCTTCAGCCTTTGACAGAGTCCAGGGACACCATTCTTTACCCCCTGCCTAATAGCCTATTATGGATCTAACCTCCATGAAATTATCTAGCACTTTTTTAAACTCTGTTATAGTCCTAGCCTTCATAGCCTCCTCTGGCAAGGAGTTCCACAAGTTGACTATGCGCTGTATAAAGAACTTTCTTTTATTAGTTTTAAACCTGCTACCCATTAATTTCAATTGGTGTCCTCTAGTTCTTATATTATGGGAACAAGTAAATAACTTTTCTTTATTCACCCTCTCCACACCACTCATGATTTTATAGACCTCTATCATATCCCCCCTCAGTCTCCTCATTTCTAAACTGAAAATACCCAGTCTCTTTAGCCTCTCCTCATACGGGACCCGTTCCAAACCCCTAACTATTTTAGTTGCTCTTTTCTGAACCTTTTCTAATGCCAGTATACCTTTTTTGAAGCGAGGAGACCACATCTGTACACAGTATTCAAGATGTGGGCGTACCATAGTTTTATACTGGGGATCAGGAGGACCTGTTTGGAATTGGTGAGATGGTTTTCATAACCTCTCACCTGTGCAAAGAGCGGGGCTGTCTGTGGCACAGGTAAAGCTGGAGTGCCTAAGGGGATTTGCTTGTGCAACTTCTTACTGGTCAGAGCGGCAGCTGGAGTGCTCTGTCTGGCTGTTTTGGTGCCTTATAGAGGAAGAACCCAATCGTGGGCTGTAGGTAGCCCTGGATCTAAGCAATTCACCCCGATTTGACCCGCTCAGCCCAGACCACCTGTCATATTACAGCCGGTTACACGCTGGGATAAATCTTACCCCATGACACTTGCTCCCCATCTTTGTGAAAAGAGCAGCCCCTTAATTAACTCCTCCCTCACCTTTGCCTCCTGCCTGCTGCTTCACTGAGTCCTTGAGTTTCTGGGTCTCTCTTTGGAGCGTTGCCATCTTTCTGTTGGCTGTTGCTGAAATATGCAAATCTGAAAGGCACAAAGACAAACGGCCCATGTGAAACTAGCGGTGCAGCAAGGGGGGATGGGCCATGCAAGTACCGTTTTCTCCTTTCCACTTTGAGAGTGAAGCAGCGCCTCTAACTATTTCACATCCTTCGGGCGCTTGCAAGTGCCGGCAGGTGTGCGTCTCAAAACCGTCTTAGCCATCCATCAGCCAGTGGAAGGGCAGCGAAGAGCAAGGGATAATAATAATATATGGAGATATACCATCTCACAGAGGTGGAAGGGACCTTGCAAGGTCATTGACTCCAGTCCCCTACCCTCATAGCAGGACCAAGTGCCATCCTTAATAGATTGGCCCTAGATGGCTCCCTCAAGGATTAAACTCACAACCCTGGGTTTAGCAGGCTAATGCTCAAACCACTGAGCTATTCCTCCTCCGCAAAAGAAAAGGGGAATGGATCTTGATGGAACTGGAAAAGTCGTTACAGGGAGCTGGTCGTGCCTCGCCCTTCCCATATGGATGTCCCTCACTCACGCACAACAGGAAGCAGCCCGATTTACAGCAGCATTTCCAAAAAGGGTTCTCAGGCAGTCTGAGAATCTGTGCAGGAAAGGGGACTGGGGGGCCATGGGAGAAGTGGGTGATCTGGGATGCACCTCAGCCTCCTACAGTGGCCAGTGGAGTTCCCTAGATAAAAACAATAGAATCCCAGGGCTGGCAGAGACCTCAGGAGTCAACAAGTCCAACTCCTGACCAGAGCAGGACCAATCCCGACTCAATCATCCCAGCCAGGGCTTGGTCAAACTGGGACTTGAAAACCTCTAGGGATGGAGATTCCACCCCCTCCCTAGGGAACCCAGCCCAGGGCTTCCCCACCCTCCTAGAGAAATAGTTTTTCCTAATATCCAGCCTAAACCTTCCCCACTGCAACTTGAGACCATCGCTCCTTGTTCTGTTATCTGCCCCCACTCAGAACAGCCTCTCTCCAGCCTCCTGGCAACCTCCTTCTGGAGGTGAAGGCTGCATCAAACCCCCCTCACTCTTCTCTTCTGCAGACTAAGGGAGGTGAAGGCTGCATCAAATCCCCCCCTCACTCTTCTCTTCTGCAGACTAAACAAACCCAACTCCCTCAGCCTCTCCTCATAGGTCATGTGCTCCAGCCCCGAAATCATTTTTGTTGCCCTCCACTGGCCCCTCTCCAATGCGTCCACATCCTTTCTGTAGTGGGGGGTCCAGGACTCCAGCTATTGGACGGAATAGTCCAGATACAAAGGCCGGATTACTGCTCCACAGATACACAAGGGAACCCCCTTTCCACAGGGGCCAAGAGGCAGTTATGAGCCAGCAAGGGGGTCCCTGTGCCACACCATGCGCCTGGTGAAAGCAGGCTCTCTGGCAGATACTCACACTCGGCAATCAAGACGAACAGTATGCTGAGCAAAAGCAGGCAGCAGAACCCCAGCAGCAACGTCACCAGCCGCCAGTGATGAGGCCGAAAAGGAATCTCTAATGGAAGGGGAGAAAAGGAAGGGGAAGAGACGAGTCAAGCCCCTCTCCTGAGACTCTGGGTCTAATTCTCAGGAACCCAAAAGCAGACCTAGCCAGCCAGGACTGAAAACGCCCCTTCAAAGCCACACCAGGCTGGCGAGGTGCTTCCTAGGCACTCATATCTCCACCCGTGGACCTCAGGGCCAGTGTAGCACCTACAACTCCAGCCAGGGTTCTCCCGGGCTAAGGGCCCCAACACCGCAGCAGGCTGTCCCTTGCTCTCGCCAATACCATACAGCGTGAGGGATGGGCTGCGCCAGGCTGACGTCCTTCTCCATCTGGGAGGAGTAAGGGCCAGGCCGGGAGCAGGGAAGTTGCATTCCAATGGCCCTGGAAACTATTCCAGGGTTTTTTTCAACATGGCTTGGGCCAACCCAGGAGACTGCCTCCTTTGTTTATCCTACGGTGTGGCCTGGGGGGCCTCCTTCCCACACAGAAAGGGCCAGTAGTTCTCCCGTCACTGTAGTTAATCCAGACATTAGCTAGGTTGACAGAAGAATTCTTCCATCAGCCTCGTGCTGTCTACACTGGGGGCTAGGCCGGCTTCCCTACGCCGCTCAGAGGTGTGGCTTTTCCACTTTCCTGAGTGACGTAGTCAGGCTGACTTAATTTTCCAGTGTAGCCCAGGCGTCAGTCCCCATGGGAGTTGTGTTGTGATGTCCCATTGCTCTTCACATGCTTACTGCCAAAGGGGAAGACTGGCTTCTTGGGGGCTTCTTGGCTGGTCTCTCCCTTCTTGGAGACCTCTGGGCTGGCCTCTCCCTTCTTTAGGGCCTCTTGCTCGGCTTCTTCTTTTTTGAGGGACTCTGGGCTGGTCTTTCCCTTCTTGGGGGGCTCCTGCTTGGCTTCTCCCTTCTTGGCGGGCTCCTGGCTGGACTCTCCCTTCTTGGGGGCCTCCTGCTTGGCTTCTTCCTTCTTGAGGGACTCTGGGCTGGTCTTTCCCTTCTTGGGGGGCTCCTGGCTGAGTTCTCCAGTCTTTGGGGACTCTTGGCTGGCCTCTCCTTTCTCCGGCCCAGCTTTCCTCGGTGGGACAGCCTCTGGGCTAGCTGGCCCCTCACACCAGGAGCTGGACATGCCAGGAGCTGGACCGCCGGGAGCTGGACACGCCGGGAGCTGGACATGCCGGGAGCTGGACACGCCGGGAGCTGGACATGCCGGGAGCTGGACACACCAGGAGCTCGGCACACCGGGAGCTGGACCACCAGGAGCTGGACATGCCAGGAGCTGGACCGCCGGGAGCTGGACACGCCGGGAGCTGGACATGCCGGGAGCTGGACACGCCGGGAGCTGGACATGCCGGGAGCTGGACACACCAGGAGCTCGGCACACCGGGAGCTGGACCACCAGGAGCTGGACATGCCAGGAGCTGGACCGCCGGGAGCTGGACACGCCGGGAGCTGGACATGCCGGGAGCTGGACACGCCGGGAGCTGGACATGCCGGGAGCTGGACACACCAGGAGCTCGGCACACCGGGAGCTGGACCACCAGGAGCTGGACATGCCAGGAGCTGGACCGCCGGGAGCTGGACACGCCGGGAGCTGGACATGCCGGGAGCTGGACACGCCGGGAGCTGGACATGCCGGGAGCTGGACACACCAGGAGCTCGGCACACCGGGAGCTGGACCACCAGGAGCTGGACATGCCAGGAGCTGGACCGCCGGGAGCTGGACACGCCGGGAGCTGGACATGCCGGGAGCTGGACACGCCGGGAGCTGGACATGCCGGGAGCTGGACACACCAGGAGCTCGGCACACCGGGAGCTGGACCACCAGGAGCTGGACATGCCAGGAGCTGGACCGCCGGGAGCTGGACACGCCGGGAGCTGGACATGCCGGGAGCTGGACACGCCGGGAGCTGGACATGCCGGGAGCTGGACACACCAGGAGCTCGGCACACCGGGAGCTGGACCACCAGGAGCTGGACATGCCAGGAGCTGGACCGCCGGGAGCTGGACACGCCGGGAGCTGGACATGCCGGGAGCTGGACACGCCGGGAGCTGGACATGCCGGGAGCTGGACACACCAGGAGCTCGGCACACCGGGAGCTGGACCACCAGGAGCTGGACATGCCAGGAGCTGGACCGCCGGGAGCTGGACATGCCGGGAGCTGGACGTGCCAGGAGCTGGACACGCCGGGAGCTGGACACACCAGGAGCTTGGCACGCTGGGAGCTGGATACACCTGAAGCTGGACACACCGGGAGCTGGGTATCCTTGGAGCTGGATACGCTGGGAGCTGGACACACCGGGAGCTGAACATACCTGGAGTTGGATGCATCTTGAGCTGGATACACCAGGAACTGGACACACCTGGGATTGGACACACTGATAGCTGGACACACCTGGAGTTGGACACATTTGGAATTGCACACACCAGGAGCTGGACACACCTGGAGCTGGACACACCTGGGATGTGTCTAGACTGGCATGATTTTCCGGAAATGCTTTTAACAGAAAAGATTTCCGTTAAAAGCATTTTCAGAACAGAGCATCTAGATTGTCACGGACGCTTTTCTGCAAAAGCACTTTTTGCGGAAAAGTGTCCGTGCCAATCTAGACGCGCTTTTCCGCAAAAAAGCCCCAATCGCCATTTTCGCGATCTGGGCTTTTTTGCGGAAAACAAAAGGGACTTTTGCCCGAACGGGAGCAGCATAGTATTTCTGCAAGAAGCACTGATTTCTTACAGTAGGAAGTCAGTGCTTTTGCGGAAATTCAAGTGGCCAGTGTAGGCAGCTGGCACGTTTTTCCGGAAAAGCGACTGATTTTCCGGAAAAACTGGCCAGTCTAGACACAGCCCTGGAGTTTGACATACCAGTAGCTGGACATACTTGGAGCTGCTTGGGGCCCTGCAGTGCAGAAACTCAGGGCCTGATTCTGGGGAAACCAGGACTTAGGCTGTGGCAGCCTCTGGTTAGTTTCCTGAGGACTGAAAGCTCTGGGTCTACTTGAAATCTTTGGGCTGGGGACAGAGGTATCTGGGTGAGATGTAACGGCCTGTGAAAGGCGCCAGGTCAGTCCAGATAATCGGTGGGCCCCCTTCTGGCCTTCATCTGCAGGAAAGGAGGAAAAGGCACCACAACGAGACGCAGTATTGAGTGTCAAGCTCACCAGTGCCGCGTGCAGCGGTGAAATCCCTCCCTGCTCCGACTCACCAGTCCCCTCTATGCACGTCCCAGGATCACGCTGCACTGGGAGCTCATGCTGAGCTGTGATCCCCTACATCCTTTAACGAGTCTCTGCCTTCCAGGATCCTCAGAGAGAAGCCAGGACATTGGGGGATGGGTCCCCTTGCCGTAGGCCTGGCCTGCGTTCCTTGTAGCTGGGTGCATAACTGTATTAATTAATTTTCATGTGTTTAGAGAATCCTGAACAGCTGGGTTGTGTCTACATTGGCACCCTTTTCCGGAAAAGGGATGCTAATGAGACACTTCGGAATTGCAAATGCCGCGGGGGTTTTAAATATCCCCCGCGGCACTTACATGAACATGGTTGCCGCTTTTTTTCCGGCTCGGGGCTTTGCCGGAGAAAAGCGCCAGTCTAGACGGGATCTTTCGGAAAATAAACCCTTTCCAGAAGATCCCTTATTTCTCTCAAAACCAGGAATAAGGGATCTTCCGGAAAAGGCTTTATTTTCCGCAAGATCCCATCTAGACTGACGCTTTTCTCCGGCAAAGCCCCGAGCCGGAAAAAAAGCGGCAGCCATGTTCATGCAAATGCCGCGGGGGATATTTAAATCCCCCACGGCATTTGCAATTCCGAAGTGTCTCATTAGCATCCCTTTTCCGGAAAAGGGTGCCAATGTAGACACAACCCAAGTGTGATTCTTTTCGAGTATGCTAGTGTAAATACATTGCCAAGATATGTGAAACTGGTGTGCGTGTCCTGCATTATTTTGACAAATAAGATACACAGAATTTGGAAGAATTTTTAAATTTTTGGCACAGAATTCCCCCCGGAGCTATAATCAACGATTTAAAGATTACGCTCCCCAAATCCAAGTAGCTTAGACATTCTCTTCCCCCAGAGTTCAAACGAATGGAATGAATTCACAGACATCGCCCCTTCATGCCGCGGGTGAAGAGGGGGGAGATACAATTATCAACATCTTTGCTCTTTGGGGTTTGACAGCCGTCCCTTTGGTTTCAATGGGCATTCTCGGTGAGCAGGTCCGCACACCTTCTGTAGGAAGGCAGAATTTTGCATACATGAACGCTTCTTTCCTGTCTGAAGGTTTACACTGCTACTCAGACATTGGTGCCGGTTTGCTTTGCGCCTGCTTTAACAGCTTTTTCAGTGGCAGGAGCTGAACCAAGAACGACCCTGCTCAGGGGCGCCTGAGAGTGAGACAGGAACAGTGGGGGAGGTTGGGGAACTGAGGCAGAACAGGCTGCCTGTGACCCTGAGGGGCCTCATGCGGTTTCCTCATCCCCCTAAAGTCCATCAGGTATCCCTCCCCCTGAAACAGCTGGTGTGGACCCTGTGCCCCTCAGATCCCCCTTGTAACCACAGTCTCCCCTCGCCAGGCCGTGCTGTCCCCCTCTTCCTCCCGACACCCCACATGGCTCCGAGGATGGGGCCTGGCCAGGCCGGGCAGGGGTGGAAGTGGCCCTTGGTTCCCATGGAGACGGAGCTGCCCGGAGCTCTCCCAGGCTGTCCCAGCCAGGAGCCCAGAGGCAGGGAACCCGGCTCCTCCCGACCCTGCCTCCCCTCAGCCCCACGCCCGGCTGGAGCGCTCCTGCCCCTGCAGGGCTCCGCACAGCGCCTGAGTCCCCTTCACGAGGCTGCCAGCTGGGGCTGCCCTCCTGGGCCTGGCCTGCCGCAGCCCATTGCAGGGGGGAGGCAACGTTTGCTCCTGGGGGCTCAGAATGCCCCCCCCGGATGCTCCTGGAGCAACGAAGCAGAGACCCAGCCTCTGTGCTCCCTCATCCCGGGGAAACTGAGCCAGGCCAGGGTAGCCCGGGGAGCAGCAGCCTCAGGTGCAATCCTGGTTGGCAAGAGTGGCCCCAGGCTGGACCTGGCTGGCTGAGGAAAGACCTCACAGCTTCTGTGGTCCTCGGTGGGGGCCCCCCACCCTGCCCCACACCGTGCCTGGCTGGCTGGGGAAGGACCCCATGGCTCCATGCACACGCCTTGGTCCTCCGTGGGGATCCCCGAGCCTTGGGTGCTGAACTCAAGGCACCTAGGCATGGGCTGCCATAACCCAGGGCAGCTAGCGCATCTCCCCGACAGCCACGGGGCACCGCCGGGCTACGAGCCCGCCACCGGGGCTGCCTGCAAGTGGCACTGGGTGTGTCCCTGCCAGGGATGGGGGGCTGCGGCCATGGAGGTGGGAACCCCACTTTGCCACCCCCTCTCCCGCCCTCGGGGCGTTACTCGGGGGGAAATGGGGAATTTCCCCTGACTCAGAATTGCCGGGCTACGAGCCCGCCACCGGGGCTGCCTGCAAGTGGCACTGGGTGTGTCCCTGCCAGGGATGGGGGGCTGCGGCCATGGAGGTGGGAACCCCACTTTGCCACCCCCTCTCCCGCCCTCGGGGCGTTACTCGGGGGGAAATGGGGAATTTCCCCTGACTCAGAATTGGTGCCGCCCCCCCATTGGCACCCGGGGGCCAGGCCAGCACGGCGGGCGCCAGGGCCTGAGGCCGGCTGGGGGGCGAGGGAGCCGCCCTGAGCAAAGACGGCCGACATCGCCCGCTGCCGTCAGGGAGGATGAAGCCGTCCACAGACAAAATGGCCGCCCCT